CCCGGCTCCTCACGGCTGCCCAAGGGATCTGCTGAAAAATGGGGTCGGGGCCGGGCTGGGGGCTCAACCTGCCATCCCAGCCCTTCGGGAGGCCGAGGCGAGTGGAGTGCCTGAGCCCGCGGGTTCGAGACCAGCCCGGGCAACTTGGCGAGACGTCGTCTCTACAGTAAAATAAAAATTCAGAAAATTAGCCGAGTGTGGCAGCGCGTGTCTGTAGTTCCGGCTACTTGGAAGGCTGAGGTGGAAGGATCGCTGAGCCCAGCGGGTTGAGGCTGGGGCGGCCATGAGCGCGTCACTGCACTCCAGCCTGGGCGGCTGAGTGAGACTCCTACTCGGAAAAAAGCAAATGGAGTTTGATCACGCCTCTGCCCTGCTCAAGACCCTGCATGGCTTCCTGTGGCTCCGAGAGAAACCCAGCCTCTTTGGCAGGCTGTCTGTGGCCCCTGCCTGTGTCTGCACCGCCCACGCCCTGTCCCTTGCTAGCTCTGCTCTAGCCAGGTGCCTCCTCAAGGTTCCTATATGTCCCAAGCACATTCCTACCTCAGGGCCTTTGCAACTGCTGTTCCCTCTGCCTGGAGGTCTCTTCGCAGGTCCTCATTGCAGGGACCTGGGCAGCCTCCACCACCTAGTTCAGATTTTTGCTCAAATGCCAACCCCTTAGAGAGGCCTTCCCTAACTGCTTTTGTTCACTGTGTTTTGTTGGCTGTCTCCTTCACTAAACCCTAAACCCATAAGGCAGCAACTTTGTTTTTGTGGATAATGTTTCCCCATCCCCTGGAGTAGCCTGGCCTGTGGCACATAGCACAATAAGCATTCTTGAATGCCAGGTGCGGTGTCTGACACCTGTAATCCCAGCACTTTGGAAGGCAGAGGTGAGAGGACTGCCTGAGCCCAGGGATGCAAGACCAGCCTGGGCAACTTGGCAACACCTCGTCTCCACAATAAATAAAATGATCTGGGCGTGGCGGTACATGCCCATAGTTCTAGCTACTTGGGAGGAGGCTGAGGCAGAAGGATCACTTGAGCCCAGCAGGTCCAAGCTGCAGTAACTGTGAGCATGCAACTGTATTTCAGCCTGGGCGACAGAGTGAGACTCTGGTTAAAAAAAAAAATTCCTTGCATTCATGTATCTGGATCTCACTCTTCTGGGCACTGAGTGTAGGAAGGACAGATTAGCCAGGGTCCTAGCCCCATCACCTCCACTCACATTCCCGCTGCCACCTTCTAGCCTGGGTCACCCCAGCTGTGGCTTTTGGGACTGGGTTCCGTGCTGCCCAGAGTCGGCCGCACCATGGCTGAGGGGCCACCCTATGACAACGCCAGGTGTTCCCCATCACGGCCACCCTGCCCCAGTGCCAGGTGCTATTCTAATGGCTTTAAATATACCAACTCATTTATTCCTCGTGACAGATTGTTTTACGTGTGAGGAAACAGGCACAGAGAAGTTAGGCGACTTGCCCAAGATCACGCAGCAGGAAGCGGCAGAGCCAGAATTCGAACCCGGGCAGCCTGGTCTCAGGGTCGATCCTCTCAACTTCACCACCGTCAAGTGGGACCACGTCCAGAGCACATCCCAGACACCTGCCCCGGGCACTTCAGTGCACTCCCATCCCCAGTCTGTCACCACATCGCCAGCGACCGTGTCATTCTTTCCTAAAGAACCTTGGTGGCTTCCTCCTGCTCACCGAGTATGGCCTGGACCCTTCAGCCTGGCATTTGAGGCTCTGCACGGCTGGCCTGAGCCTGCTTTCTCAACACTTCCCCACTGTTCTGGGCTACACCCTGGGGTGCCAGACTGCCTCTGCTCGGGCCGCTGTTCCTACAGGAGGGCTGTCCCTCTGTGAGCCCATCCAGGCCCCAAGGCTCCGCCAGACGCTGCCTCCACGCCCACCCTCCTCCCCACATCCCCAAGGGCCAGAGCTCACTTCACCGAGATGGAGAACTCCCCCGGAGAGCTCTCACTCTCCCGGATGAGGAAGGCTCCCAGATGGTTCCGCTTCATCAGAATCTCTTCAGCCAGCTGCCGGGAAATCCTGCCCGAGTACCACCTGTGGAGAGAGGGCGCCAGTGAGGGCAGTGGGGAGACCAGGTTCTCAAACTCCTGTGTGCCAAGCCCTCCACGTCGCTGATCCACATAGCAGTCCTGAGACATGGGACACATAATTGCATCCATTTCACAGATGGACAGACGGAGGCACAGAGAGGCAATGCATTGAGCCCAAGGTCACACAGCTGAGGCACGCAGGAGTCGGAACACAATCTCAGTGTTTGGGCCTCACCCACCCAGCCTAAGCTGAGCCCAGCTTATGCTACCATACCAGCAAGCACATATCTTTATGAAAACAGAAAAATTATTCTCCAGTGAGCCACAACCCAGTCAACCTCAGCCTAACTTTGTTTTAGATGGTAGATTCTTTTTTTTGAGTTGGAGTCTCACTCCTTCACCCAGCCTGGAGTGCAGTGGCAAGCACACTCATGGCCACCCCAGCGTCGATCTTCTGGGCTCCAGTGATCCTTCCACCTCAGCCTTCTGAGTAGCAGGATTTACAGACATGTGCTACCATGTCCAGCTATTTTTTTTAAATTTTATTGTAGAGACAAGGTCTCATCAAGTTGCCCGGGCTGGTCTTGAACCCAGGGGCTCGGGCAATCCACTCGCCTCGGCCTCCCAAAGTACTCGGATTACAGGCTGAGCTACCAAGCATGGCCGGTAGATTCTTAAAAGTCAAAAAATAAGCCAGATGCAGTGGTGTGCACATGTAGTCCCAGCTACTCGGGAGGCTGAGGCAGGAGGATCATTTGCAGCCAGGGGTTTGAGATCAGTCTGGGCAACATAGCAAGACTCCATGTCTTTAAAGAAAGGTTTTTTTTTAAAGTAAAAAAACCCAAAAGACAAAAATAATAATGGCTTCAATCTGGTGAGGAAATATGCCTCACTGTACCCATTCCACAGATGCACAGATTCAGGCCACCTGGACTTTTTCACAGGTACAAGTTCCTTTTCCTGCTGATCAAACAGGACTGGGTATACAGAAGGTGGCTGGTAAGTGCTTAGACTCTTGCAGGATCCCCAGGGTCTGGGGGTAACAGGTGGGATCTTCTTTTCCAGTCCTGCTCATCTCACTGTGTGGCCCCAGGCAGCCCCTGGCCTCTTCGGGACTTAGCCGTTGCCACAGACTGGCTGCTTGTACCCTCCACTCCCGACCCCCAGAATTTGTGTACTGAGACCGAATCCCCAAAGCAATATGATTTAGAGGAAGAGCCCTTGAGAGATGGTTAAGAGCCTTTGTGAGTGGGCTTCATGCCCTCATGAGAGAGCCCACCTGCTCTCCTACCATATGAGGACACAGCTAAAGGACACAGCCATCTGTGGGCCAGGAAGCGGCCCTCGCCAGGCCGCGAATCTGCCGGCACCTTGATCTTGGACTTCCAGGCTCCAGAACTGTGGGCAATCCATGTCTGCTGTTCCTCAGCCACCCAGACTGTGGCACTCAGTCACAGCAGCCTGCATGGACAGACACACCCAAAGTCGGAGGGGCTGGGTGGCCTCTGACTGGCATCCGGCTCGAGTATTTTAGCTCAGCTTTGACGCTGCCCCCTTGATTGTTCAGATGGGGAAACTGAGACCCAGAGCAGCCGGCGAGCTCATGGTGGGAGCATGACAGACCCAGGGCACAGCCTGGAGCCTCAGTTTCCCTGAAACGTTTCTCTCCCCTCCTTCTGCAGACGCTTCCTGAGTCAGAACGTGGCACGGGTGGTGGGTGGGATGTTTCCTGTCATCTCAGGATGCTGAAGAGCCCTCGGAGGCAGAACAGAGAGCACGAGGGGCCGCGGCAGTTGCTGGGGCCGCGGCAGATGCTGCTGGGGTCCTGCCGGTGTGCCCGCTCTCACCTCTGCAGCGCAAAGGTTAAGAGACACAGACCCAGGGGTTCTCTCCCAGGGATCTGGTTACAAATATACTTGGCCCGTGTGCATGGCGGGTCGTGGCTGGAGCATCCCCAGATGGTGATGGAGGTGAGCAGGTGGGAAGACACCCCAGCATCCCCCGCAGCAACACGCCTGCTGGCTCCCTCCCGTCCCTGTCCGCGTCCCCACTGCGAAACAAGTTCCGTGTCCTCATGTCCATGTCTCAGGGAGGCAAGCCCACACCCCCAGACGTGAGGCTCCAGACCCCCACTGCAGCGCCCAGGCTGATGGGGACCCTCGACCCACTTCATGGCAGGTGTCTCCAGAGAGGGGCACGGGAAAGGGAGCTGCCGGGCCTGGGCGCTCAGGGCAGCCAACTGGAGAGTTCGGCCCGGGTCCCCCGAAGCCTGGAGACCCGGAGGCAGGTGCGCAGCCCGCCTAGGCAAGTCTCAAGGCCACAGGGGTCAGGGTGGCCAGGAAGGAAGGGAGTTGTCGTGAGCCCCTCCTCCAGGAAGCCCCCAGCTCCATCCTGCTGGAGTCGAGCCCAGTAGGGCCCTTGATGGGAGTTTCTTGAGGGGCCAGGTGTCTTCAGAGAACCCACAGGAGGCATCAGCGTGTGGGTGGCCGTTGCCTTCAGAGGGCGTCGAGACCGCACCCTCCGAGGGGAACCCCCTGCCAGCCCCACCCACCACAGCCGCTTGAAGGACGCCCCAGGGCCTGGCTCCTTCCCCCACGCCAGTGTTACTCGGTCTGCCTCCGCTCTCACCGTCCCCATTTTACTGATGTGGAAACTGAGGGCCAGAAAGTGGAAGAGAAGCCCCCCACCCCACGACTGCTCACCCATACGGCCTGCCAAGCCCAGGGCCCACCCACCCCTCTGCAGTCCATCTCCACCTCTCGCCAGCTGTCTGGTCCTGGACAAGTCACTCAGCCTCTCCCTGCTTCAGTCTCCTTATCTGAAGGGTGGTGGTGATGGGACTCACCTCCCAGGGCCCCTGAAGAACAGAGGAGCCGCTGCCGCGGTGTTGGCTGCTCCTCCCACCCATCCGCCCATGAGGCTTGTCTTCTGCACTCCCTCGCAGACTTCTACTTTAACTTCCAAGCCCAGTGGGCCATGCCCTTCCTCTAGGAAGCCCCCGCCCCACTCGACCACACCAGGCCCTTGCCTGATGAGGCTGGCTCGGGGAGTACTGGGTCTGCACCATGCCCCTCCCAGGGGACCTGGGGGCAGGCAGGGAAGAGGTGAGCACTCAGGAAGGAGTAGGCGGGCCCAGGCCGCACCTTCTGGGGCCCCAGCCCTCCCCTCAACCCCGCATCCTGGGCTTGTCTGGGCTGAGGCAGGGGTGGAGCTGGAGTTTCCCCAGGCTCTTTTGGGACCAGGGCAGGTGCTGAGGTTAACCGAGAACACACCTGGGGGCCGCCTCAGGCAGGTTGGTCAGGGGCTGACCCCAACCCCTGCCCTGTCCCGGATACAAGTGGCCGGAGCTGACCCTGGGGACCTCAGGCTGGAACCTCCATGGCACGGCCACGCATGAGGGCGCCCCTCCAGCCCATCGCCTGTCTCTATGTCTCACTGAGTCCCTGGCTCACCCTCGCACCCCTGTGGCTCCCCACTGCCCTGAACCTTGGCGCCTTGCCTTGACCTGGAAACCGCCTGTCAAGGCCAGAAGGCTTACAGCACAGGACCTTCCGTCACCTCTTCTCCCCGGCAGCTGTCAGCCTTCTAGCCTTGACAGGCGTTTCCTTCACCTGAAGGCCACCGCCACAGGCCAGCCCTCGGAGGCTGCGTCCCTGCCCCGCCCCTGCCTCCCCCCCCCCTTCAGGCCCATCTGCCGGGAGGTTGGCCTACAGACGCCTGTGGGTTGGACTCTCTCCATTTCTCTCCCCCGTGACACACCCTTTCCCTCTTCATGAACAGAAAGGCTGAAGACGAGAGAGGGCAGAAACCTGCCCAGTGTCACACAGCCACGAGGGACATCGCAGGACCTAGAACCCAGGCCCAGCCCAGGAGGCCGCAGCCTCTGTGGGGGAGGCTGGGAGTGCATGGAGCCCAGGCAGAGCCGCTGGGGACCTGGGTGGGACAGGAAGTTGGAGGTGGTGGCAGCTTTGACACTAACTCAGAGAGAAAGAAAGAGGAAATACCCCCCAAGCCCCACCCTGGCTCTGCACCACCTTCCCCTTTCACCTGCAGCCACACACATCTTGGCTCCCAATCTGTCTCTCTAGCCTGCCTGGCCCTGTCACCTGTCTCCATATCTGACCAAGTCCCTTCCCTACCCTGATGCCTCCATGGCTCCCTACTACCTTTAGCCTGGCATGTGGACCTCTTGCTAGTCCCGCATGCCACAGGTTTTCCTCTGCTCATCCTGACCCTTTCCCAGGAATGCCTTTCTCTTTTCTACTTAAGCAACTCCCACACATCCTTCAAAACCTCACTTGACCAGGCATGGTGACTGACACCTGTAATGCCAGCACTTTAGGAGGCAGAGGTGAGAGAACTGCCTGAGGTCAAGGGTTCGAGACCAGGCTGAGCAACTTGGTGAGACCTCATCTCTATAATAAATCAAAAAATTAGCTAGATGCACTGGCACATGGCTAGGGTTCCAGCAACTTGGAAGGCTAAGGCAGAAAAATCACCCGAGCCCAGCAGGTCAAGGCTGAGGTGGCCGTGAGTGTGCCACTGTACTCCAGCCTGGGCAAAGAATAAGACTCTGTCAAAAAAGGAAAAAAAGCAGCCGGGCTCAGTGGCTCAGTCTGTAATCCCGTGCCTTTGGGAGGCTGAGGTGAGTGGATTGCCTGAGCCCGCAGGTTCGAGACCCGCCTGGGCAGCGAGACCTCATCTCTACAATAAATTAAAAATCAGCCGGGCGTGG